GGAGGAGGAGGAGGAGGAGGAGGAAGAGAAAACTGCAGCCATGTAGTTTAGTGGTAGAAGGTCCCTGGGTTCAATCCCCAGTACCATCAAAACAAAACAAAGCAAAGGAAACAAAAGAATCAACGATTCTGTATTCTTTCCAGATGTTGCTGGATAATATTTTATATTCATATTCTAGGAATTAGTTTATGTTCAGCCATATTGTTGAACCAAAAATTTAGAGTGCTTTGTTTTAGTGAAGTAGAAAGGAGAAAGGGAGGTGAGTGAGGAACCTGTGGCCCTGGGCAGGTAAGAGCTGATTAACAGGAAAAGAGCTTTGCTTTCTTTCTCCCTTTACCTCCCACTGTTCTCCTATCCAGTTCTAAAAGGAAATAGGGAGAAGTAGCAGGAATTTGAATAAGTTAAATCAGATGAAAACTCTTCCTTATGTAAATAGAATTTTGCATGTAATTTCTGAGACATCACAGATCCAGGGAAGGCCAAGCCTGGGTAGCAGTTAACCATAGCTGATTTCCCAGTCTTCCCCAATATCTGTCCTCAGTTACTGTACACCACTGCCTTTGGAATAATACATTCTGAAGACCTAATGTGTTAAGGAAATCGATCAGCTTCAGAGAGTAATTGTTGGTTTTCTCCCGTTTTTTAATTGATAGACTCTAGCTTCAAATTGGAGGTTTACTGAGGGGGAAAACATTTTATAATATAAAGTTTTTATAATATAAAACTTTTATAATATAAATTTTAATGTGACACTTTTATTATAAAAATTGTTTTGAGCTTTTCCGCTCCTATTTCCTAAATTAAATATGTTGCCCATTCTGCTCCAAAAATAAAGGAGACCTTTTGATATGGTTATATAAAATTGAGTATGTTCTTATTTAAAATTTGAGGTTTTTTTTTTTTGGTGTAAAAACTGCACGAATGAACATTTTTCCGACCTTTCTACAACTGTCAGTTCTTTTTAAACTCAAAACAGGAAAACTCTTTAGTTGTCCATGAAGAAATGTAAAGGAAATAGACCTTTAAACATGTATTATTTATGAATCTACTGCAGCAAAAACATCATCAATAATTTAATGATCTCATATGCTTTTTAAAAATATCTACTGTCATTAACCTTCACATGTTCAGTCATCTCCAGTCACTAGTAGTTCACGTCCACCACACCTGACATTTCCAAGTCACCCCCGAAAAACATAATAGCAGTAGGTTAAGTATTCAAATTAATTTTAAACTACAAATAAACCTTTAATAAATTGCTAATCATAACAGAGGCTCAAGTTACTCCTACAAGGCTCATCAATTGTCCACCTAAATTTTAAGAAAAAGGAAGAGCCTGAGAATGTGGGGTGGGGTAAAGCAAGGAAAGGGAGTTAACGCCATGTTGTGTTGACATTGAATAAGAATTCTAGCTACTGCTAACCCTCCTGGGTGC